GCTAATTGGTGATCTCGTCTGGCTTGAAGGTTAGAGATCCCTACTTTTTTCAAAATATCAGCAGATCGAATCTCATAGCTTTCGCGCGTTATAATTCGGAATGCTCGGTTTTGGAGCTTTTGTAATTTGTCTGATAAACCCTTTCCTAGGCAACCCCAAACTTGCGAGCAATAATCAAAGTGTGGTTGAATAATTGATTGATATATTGTAATTAGTGTTCTAAAATCCACTATTTCTCGAAGCCGTCTTAGGATGCTGAGGCCTGCATTTACCTTTTTAGTAATTAGGTTCACTTGTGCATTCCATGACAAGTTTTCGTCAATATTTACACCAAGAGATTTAGTTACTTTAACTCTGTCTATTTTCCTACCATCAATATGTATGTGAGGATGTGCATCAATTTGATTAATTCTTTTATTGCTACCTAATATCATGTATTCCGTTTTGGAATGGTTTAAAGTTAATTGGTTGGCTGACATCCAAGTTGATTTTTTTCTAAATCATGGTTAAGATTCTCTGCAATTTCATTAATATTTTCACTAGATGTATCGATTTGGGTATCGTCGGCAAACATGCTGGTGCTTGTTCTCTCTAGACATTGAGGCAGATCATTTATGTATATTAGAAATAAAAGTGGCCCTAGAGCAGAGCCTTGTGGGATGCCTGTTTTTACACGAAGTGGTCCAGATGTGTGGCCCCCTACTTTGCAGTATTGCGTTCGGTCTGTCAAATATGACTTGAGCCAACACAGCGCCGTTCCTGTTATGCCGTAAATATCCAACTTTTTAAGTAGAATATCATGATTCACAGTATCGAAAGCTTTTTTTAAGTCTAAGAACACGACACCATTAAGTTTGCCGACATCAATATTTTGATACCATCTATTGGTGATGTCTAGCAATGCAGTAACCGTAGAGTGGCATGGTCTAAATCCGTGCTGGGAGCTACTTAACAGGTTTGAGGACATTAAATAGTCATAGATCTGGTTGTGTACCAACTTCTCCATAATTCGTGCTACAATTGAGATGACAGATATTGGTCTATAGTTTGAGGTACAATTTTTTGCCCCAGATTTGTATATTGGTGTTACTCTTGCAATTTTCCAGTCACAAGGAAAAATACCGGTGCGAATTGATTGATTAAAAATCAATGAAAGTGAAGGGGCAATAGCGGGAGCAGCAATTTTAAGGAATTTAGCTGAGATGTTGTCGATACCTGATGCTTTAGAGGCACTTAGATTTTGGAGCAAATTTAGGGTTTCTAATTCCGAGATCTCTTTAAAGCAAGATAGTGGGCGATTTGGGCAGTCTAAAGCCTCAAGGTAACTTTCTGGAGTTATATTTGTGCAAGGTATATCTTTAGATAATTGTTCACCCAAGTCCGTAAAATACTGATTAAATGTATTCGGTATGTCAGAAGGGTTTATTGTCGCACCTGCCTCATTTTTTAACTCTTGTATCTTGTTATCTTTATAGGATTTATTTAACAATTCATTAATTGTTTTCCAAGTTTTTTTAAGATTCCCCGAATTATTTTGTAATTCATCTTGATAGTGCTGACGAACTGTATCCTTAATTAATCTGTTATAATTATTTTTTGCTGATTTGTAGGCACGCCAGTCAGTGTCTAATTTAGATGAGATTGCTTTTTCTTTTAAATAGACATTATGTCTTTTTTTAGCAACTAGGTCCTTGGTCAGCCATGGCACGCGTTTGCCAGACACCCTACGTTTCTTTAAGGGGGCATGTTTATTAATGACATCGAGAAATGCGTTCTTCCAGATATTCCATGACTTATTAGGGTCCTGATAGTCTAAATTAAGGTTCGAAAGGGATTCTAATTCAAAGAGAAAATTTGATCTGTTGAAGTGTTTAAAATCATGGTATTCAATAAATCGAGATGACTCTTTAACTATATGGATTTTGCGTATACCGTATATTAAATAATGGTCACTAATAGTGATGATTTTCACACCACTAGAGATAATACATTCTGGTTTGTTTGTATAGAAATGGTCAATTAGAGACACACTGTCTTTTGTAACTCTGGTAGGATCTTTTATTAATTGTTCGTATTGGAATAATTTGGTAATAATTTGGTAATAGCATTTAAACCATTCAAAATTTGAGGGAAAACGTGCGCCCAAAGTGGTTTCGGAGTTGAGACTTTAATAACTTGAGAACCAACTATATCGTAGATATAATCATCTAAGTTTGCCAGACAGATTTCCGTTTGAATAAACAGAAATGGCGTGTTTTCGATATGTTTTTGCCAAGAACCGTAATATCTGGCAATATTTTCAGTCCAAAGTTCGTTTTTCGGTCTTTTCAGTATCTCCAATTCTCGTCTCGGGTATTTTGCATTTGGATCATTTTCGTCATTTGGCACGCGAAGAATCTTTATGGCGCATTTCTGTCCGTTAGCGTCCTCAGCCTTAAATACAAAACCATAGCCGCCTTCACCAATTTGTTCTCCTAAACTATAACCATGCATGTTGAAAATGGTAGAAATTTGCTGTGCTTGTTTATCGTCCATGTCTCTAAGAGTTGTGGCCGAGAAGAATTTATTGCTAATAATAAATATGAAGAATGTAACAGGTTTTTCCAAAAAAATTATAAATTTAAATTACTCATCACAATTTTATCGTCAATAACAAAATCAGCATGAAAAAACTTTGCATAAGCTGTGCCAATTGTGGATTTTTGTCGGTTAACTAACGACGACAAAAGATATTTCTTTCTGTGTATGGGTTTGCCAATGTTTAAACTCCTGTTTTTTGTCGCTTTTGCCTCTTTCGTAGGCTGTTGGTAAGCTACCTAGGATCGAGATTATTATCTATTGCTGTCTTCAAAACCATTCATCCATTTTACCATAGGCGGATCTAGGAATTTGAAACATTGTCAATTATTTTTCTCTTTCGGTTTCGATTTAATGCATATATATATATATATATATTAATATATATATTATATATATATATATTATATATATATATATATATATATATATATATACATACATATATATACATATATATATATATATATATATATATATATATATATATACATACATATATATACACATATATATATATATATATATATATATATATATATATATATATTTCCTCAAAGTTTGAGAAACTTTGCAGTATTGTGATGAGTGGCGAAAATTCAAACGAGTCAGTAAGTCAGTCAGCCAGTCATCATAGTGTAAACTTTACGGGGGTTAGGTTGATTTGTGCGTAACTTTTTGTATATGATCAGTAATTTAAAGTTTTTAAATCAGTTTAACCTGCTTTATTTATTAATGCACTATATCCCTTTTGCAAAGTTCACCAAAATATTGAGGAATTTTGACGGTTACTGTAAATTTTCAAGCATTGCTTTTCCGCGTTTTGTATTTTGTCTTAAAGGCTTTTGCGCAGAATTACCCCCCGGAACACCCGATTTTTTCTCTTACGTCGCAACTGCGCATGTGCCGTCGAAACTTGAACATTATTCAGTATTCACGATGTAAAGAAACGAGGAGCGACGAGCATTGCTTCAAAACATTCCGGGCGTAAAAATCGAGCAATTCTTTGAGAATCTACGCAATTTATCAACTTATGTTATGAATTACGAGCATTAAATTCAACACAAATATAATTTGAAAGGTTTATTCCATAAATAGAGCTAAGAGGTTAGGAAGAAACCGAAACGACGCTGTGTTGCTTATGTATTGATAGACTCTTACACGAATGTATATTATGTCGATAGCAAGTCGATACCTGAAATTCTGCATACAGTACATAAATGATACTATACAAAACGGACATTTTGTGCAGTAATGTAGTCAAATCATTTTGGCGGTATACAGTATTGATTATAAGTATATTGTTTGCATCGATTTACGCGTCGAAGTATCCACATCTATATATATAGACATAATATGCACCGCGGTTTATTTACATTATTTATAACGCAACTATTTTGGCTATTCTTATGAAGTGACGGATGAATTGTTGCCATCATATAAATGTTGTGAATGTAGTCACAGTTGTTTGACGAAGAAAAGAGACTAAACTGAAATTCGCGCCCGGTTAGGCCGGTTTACATGGGCAACTAAAATTATAGTGACAGTATCTGCGGCTAACGTAACTTGAGTACTTTGAGTAATTTCCTTTTGATTAATGTTTAACCTAGTTCATTATATTTTTACTGGCATAAGTCAAAACGTTTATGTTGGGACAAACGTCTGGTTGCTTAGGCATTACAGGACATGAAAACTTTGCACTATATCCTTGGATCCCTAGTTTATATTTGTATCAATCCCATTATATATTGCTGTGTTCTTTAATTGCAACTTGCAAACTTTTTAAGTTATCATCAGGTTTGATGCATCGGTAATAAATTTCATCATCGTGTATCTTTACAAAAAAATTCCTTGGCCTTTGGGTTGTGCATGCTTTATTTATTTAAGGCAGTGAGTAAATGAAATAACTTATTTTCTTGATGGGACAAATCTTCAAGATCACGATTTCCCTAATTGTCGTAAATGAAAGTTCCTTAATTGTCGTAAATGAAATCCAACAAGTTTTTGAGACAGAGTTCTGTTTGATGAAACGGAAATAGCTCGTTATAATATCTGATAATATTTTGCTTCCAAAGGTCTTCCTTACACTTTTCTATTTCTCGATCGTCTCTGGTATTTCAGTTGCGTTTCTATCGCTGCCGTCGTTCGCACTGCGAAGAATCTTTATGGCGTATTTCTGTTTGTCAACAATGTTCTCGACTTGCAAAACTAGCAAAGCAGAACTGCCAGCCACCTATGTTTTTATGTTGGTAGCCATTACGCATTTGTTAACCTATATTACATGACTCTATCATGCACTAAAAAGTAAAATTGATCCTGCCATTGGAGGGAGTAATATAATATATTAAGTAAATTGCATCTCTTCTCATTTTAAACTATAATCGAAGTAAAACATCAGCTTTATTTTGTTTATGTTTCAACAGAAAGCATCAGCGAAGTTTGACAAAGACGTCACAGAGCAAAGCGATGTTCTGGTGTCTGGCAAATGGCGGGAAAACGACAGTCAGATGAGATCATTCAGGACATTCATGTTAATACATTGGAAAGAAATGGAAAAAATAACGACAGAAATGGAACAATTTGCAGCGTGAGACTGAGTCGGGTAACTATTAGCGTGTTTTCATTCTATAATTTAGTACCAAAATTTGTGAGCTGGCGCGAAATATCTTGCGACGGAAATATGCGATTTTGTTACAAAAGGTACCGTCCAACTTGTGACGTCCAGCAACGATACCCGGTCAACTTCGTTTAATTTGCAAAGGTTGATCTTCGATATGAGAAGAGTACAGTCCAAAAAACAACGTCTTGTAAACTAAAAATATAAACTTTCGTCGATAGAGCTAGACAACAATTTTGCTGTCTGAAAAATCGTTGTCTTGTTTTTTATGAAAGCTCGATTTACAAGTTTTCATAATGTTTTTAGGAATGTTTATTCCTATATTTTATTTCATCATGATTTAGCCTGGTAGAGCATTTCTTTACACCTTTAAAATCAAGTCAAAATTGAAATTCCAAAGCTTTTTTATTTCCATAATGTTATAATACCACACAATTAAAGTACAAACGCAGTATGATATTACAAGATAAATATCTATATGCGTATATTAAAATATAACGTTATTTAAAAAACTCTATCTCTGTATTTTAAAATCATAAATAGCTTATTTCTGGCACCGCGTAAGGCTGCTTCTCTTGTTGAGGTGGCTGAATGGACAATAAATAAGAGATAACCTCCTGAAAATATTGGGAAAATATATTCAATATTAATTTTAAACCAAATTGGCACCGCAGATTTTGTGCAGCTCATCAAAAGATGGCTCAGAGGGAGAGGCGAGGGGGTATTTATCGCAGAAGCCAAAAATAAGGTTTTGATGTTTGAATTCGTGACTGCAAACAAACTTACGTGACGGCCAAATGACTGGGCAAAATCCAAAGCTGTGTTTCCATGCTAGAGAGAGGAAAATTATCAGCAAGTGGACCTGGATTGTGAATCACATTCCTTTATATATAGGTCAGCGACTATATCTAGATCAATCCAGGTTTACAGTCCAGTTGTATTGGCTACGTACCATATTCTGTTCTTCAGTATTAGCGCCATATTCCACCAGAAGAGAAACAAGGTCTAAACGGCCTGATAACGCGGCAGCCTGTATTGAAAAGATTGAATGAGGCTTTGAATTCGCGTAGGAGTATTATCCCACGATTCAAGCCATTTGAGATTTAATATATATATAAAAAAGAAAATATCGCATTCAGTTACAAACATAACGGTCAGTGGATACGAAATTCTTATCCACTGATCCCTATATCCCAGCAACTGAACGCGAAGAGTGAGCTCGAGAAGCTGAAGAGAGCAACATCGCGGGCTCTCTCCTTTTAGCCACTGATCTCTATATTGGTAGCTGGATGTATTTATTTACCATTAACACGCTGCGGCCTTGCTTATCGTGAGTGTTGACGTTCGCCCCCCCGTCTAACAAAACCTTCGCGACGTCGGCTTTGCCATCTAACGTGGCTAAACAAGAAAGTGAAAATACCATTAGTTTATCATTTTGACAAAAAACTGCCCTTTATTCTAAGGATGGGACAAATATTTTGCAAATCAATGGCCTGACATACCCAAGCGCATCAACGGTGTCCATTCCGCGACGTCTAACTCGTCAACCTGTGGGTGAATGAGTTTCATTTTAATTTCAATTTAACTGCAAATGTTTGCAGGGATTTTGAATAAAATTTTTGCAGAAATAAAAGGGAGTTGAGTGTATTTTTCATTCCATCCAACCTTCGCTCCGCAGTCCAATAACCACTCCACAACACTCGCTCTTCCGCCATCAACCGCCCAATGAAGGGCATTAGAACCTAAAGATTTCAACATTTAGCTATGTTAGTATTAGAAGATACAAATCAAATATTAATGCAACAAGATTTCAGTATAGTTAACTCTGACTGCGAAATTATACTAAAAGAGGTGTTCTAAATTTTATGGGGTATGCCACGCCCATAATGTACGCCAATATCCCGACGTACCCCCTTGATCCTTTACTTCGATTGAAGCGCCATGTTCTTTCAACGTCATAGCCACGTTAACGTGTCCTGTGAAACATGCCATCATCATGCTAGAGACGAGGCAAAATAATTGACAGCAATCAGTTTAACTTAATCTATAAACTCTTGTATATTTCCACATATTGTTCAGCAAAATCCGAGCATTCAGAGACAATCAGACGAAGTTAAATATTTGATTATGATTTCCACATACCTGTCCTTGCCACTTGAATTGGAGAACGTCACGTCCGCGCCAAGTGTTAGTAAAACATCCACAATACTAAACACACAGAGTCAAATTAGACTCAAATATATTAATTTCTCTATACCCTTGGATCCACAACTCAAAATAAAATAATAATCAATCATCCGTGGTCATACAAGAAAACGTTGTACAGGGACACACTAGGTAGCGTTTTTAAAGACTGTTCAGTGTTTTATTCGTCAATTTACGGGACAGAATAATGGTGGAGATGACAGCTAAGTTTTTGTCACATCAAGTAATTGTATGGTCAGAACAAACATGGACCAGCTAGTTCAGTGTGATACATGCTTAGTTCAAGCAAACAACCAGCCAGAGTGTTAATGGTGGACCAGCCACTTGGCATGGTTATGGCAAATCAAGTGATATAAATGGCCAGGAAATGATGGACCAACTATACTGTTTGGGCAGATCAAGCAATTGACTTTTGCTGTAACTGTTTGACTGTAACAGTTGACAGTATGTTAACAAGAAAAGTCTGATCTGCTTGGGAACCAAACTTCAAGGATTCCACTTCAAGTATGGACATATACTGGTTTTTCTAAATTATGTGATCATATTCTCAGCACCTTGTGTAACCCTTCTGTGCGGCGACCATGAGTGGAGAGCATCCCATCTTGTCAGGAACATCAACCAATGACTCGCTATGGGATTATTAAGCAAGATGTCAGAAATGAAAGCTTGGAATGTGAAGGTAAATACTTATGATATCTTTACTTACTAGTTGTTTAGAATTTTTTTCACTTTATCAACATCCCAGTTTAAAACTGCTCGGTGAAGCTCTGCCCCAGAGCACGGGAAATCTAAATTATTGTTGAGTATGGTGAGTTAGGCATTTAACTAGATCCTGGGGAGAAGGCTTCACCCTAGGATCTAGTTACATGAAGATCAATGGCTGTTAGCAATGAGGTATTTCATACTCATTGTCGTGACTTCTATCGCAGAACTCCAGGGACTAGACATGGTTGAAAGGTTGATTTGAACTCTGTAGCAATGTCGAGTGTTCTCTTTTAGACCATCTAGTATGCATGTCTTTGCATAACCACTGAAAAAATGATTTCATAAATCAGGCTTTGAGTCAGGTTTCAAGTAGCCCTGAGCTTGCAGCAGTGAACCCAAATAAGACTTATTTGAGTTCACTGGTTTGCAGTCATTTTGTAAGAGGAAATTCTAATATCTAACCTATAGACATTGCGATATTGTCCCGAAATGCCTGCCTCCTGAACGCAATATTTTGTCCTTTCGCATTCATTGGGCTTCTTCTCTTGATCCCAAAATAGTTCAATACTGCAGTGCGTGACCCTGCCAATCCTTGGAGGGTCTGGTTTATCTGAAATTAATATGTGAGGGGTGCGTTAAATGACAGGGGACAGCGTGACTACTTGATTTACAAGGAGATCTGAGGAGATCTGCACACAAATATTGCAAATTCTTATTAGCTAACAAGAAGGGCTAATATTTGACAAATAGTCAGATGTCATAGAGCTGTTTTCTATAGATAAGTTTGTATAAGAAAATTAACAATCTTGCAACAGGGAGGCCTTGTTTGTTTGGAAAAAAGTAACTTTTTTGGGCATGTTTATGCATTTGAAACAAGCTGTGCGATTTCTGGGCACAACGTAAAGAACAACGTACCCATAGCGATAATAATTCAGCTGTGATCACTGGTTACATAACTGTAATTTGATCTGAAAAGTTCATACAACAAATATATATGTAAGAAGCGATCTCCTTGCGAAAGCAGGAAGACTAAAGAGGGAAGGCCATAATACGGGAATCGTGTCTGTAATTTTGACACGAAGCAATATAAACGGTTCGATAAAGACTGAGAATTATTAAATGCAAACACACGATTCACAAAGCATAGAAATTGATAATCCCTAATGTAAACACAATCTGTAAACCATCAACAAAGCGCTTGAAAACAGCCTTAATTCCACTGTTTGTTTGGTAGAAAAATAATGATTTATAAGCATACCATTTCCCATTTGCTTTCTGCGAAATTGCTGCACAATTTCAACTTAAATTTCTTAGAAATCTCACCACAATTTCCGATAATAAATCATATAAATACGGTTGATGTGAAATTTATTTCTCGAAGTTACACAAAGTATTGAAATCGAAAGTCGCAGGCTTGCTGACCCAACTTGTTCGCGGATGCGTGTGCACGGCCAAATATTGATCAGGTTGTCACATCAGTACTCAGGAATGAACAATGCTGTGCTGCACCCTCGGAACACTATTGTTAACAATATTTTTGAAGGCTTCTTGAATCATCAATGTTGATGTAATCACGATGCAATGTTGTTGTAACAAGTTGCATCAACATTGACGATTCAACAAGCTTCAACAACATCGTTAACAATACTGTTCACACGCTGCAGCACAACATTGTTCACTCCTGTTTTTAACAACTTGTGTCAACATGATGATTTTTACGCGTGTAGAACTTGGAAATTCGCGCACTGGACAAGATACTGATAATATTTTTCACACTAATTCCAGGCACCAGTACCGTAGAGAGCCCAGGCTCAGCACTGAAACAATCGACTGATTCGTACAACTGAATCAATATTAAATTCTGGGCTGTCCACGCCAGTACTCGACAAGGGAGCGCAACTTAAAGTCTTGCCTTCGTCTTTTCTGTGCACATTCTGAAAATCTCTCATTACTAAGGTTTTTATTTAGTTACTCGTTTCCTCAGAAACTCATTGTTTTTGACTTTTCACAGTCAATGAACACCAAGATATTGGCTTAGCAGGACTAAACAGAACTAAGCCAATATTTTACTTTAAAAAGGTTTTTCCCTTTTTAAGCACGCACTGAAATCTGAGCTTCAGTCACAAGCTTATGTATACTGATAAGCTAGTGACTGAAGTTGGGCTTGAAGCCCAGATTTCAATGCGTGTTTAAAAAGTGAAGGGCGTTGTCGATTTCTCGAAGCCCCTGCTGTGAAGTAAACATTGCGCAAACAGTCATTCTGGCAACAAGACCATGTAATTATTTGATGATGTAGTGCCATATAATTAAGAACTCTGTGACTTCGGGAATCTTGATCAGCGATCGACCGATCGTAATACGGTAAGCCATACTATAAATAGTGTGTATTGTTTATCTGCATGTAGTATCAATCGTAGAAAGAATAAATTATGACGATGTTTCTACAAATTGCGCAGAACGTGACTTCCGACCAACTTTAAATCGACTTCAAAAGCTAACAAGCGCGTAGGATGATCTATATCGCACTTAAAACGAGGTG